TCATGACTGTATCAGACTTGTTAGAACAACCTTGTAACATTCTTGTTATATCATGACTGTATCAGACTTGTTAGAACAACCTTGTAACATTCTTGTTATATCATGACTGTATCAGACTTGTTAGAACAACCTTGTAACAAGTCTGACAATGCCATCAAGCTTGTTACAAGTTGTTAGCAACTTATATTCATAAAATAACAGCGTTGTTACAACTTGTTGACAAGCTTGCTACAAGCCTGTTGCGAACACATGTTCACACGTAAAAACGCTCAAGTTGTTACAAATCTGTTCACAAGCTGTCGACAAGTTGTGTTCGCATTGCTTGTTCCCAGTTGTTGTAACAAGTTTGAAACAAGCTGTTAACAACTTGTAACAAGCTTGATGGCATTATCAGACTTGTTACAAAGTTGTTCTAATAAGTCTGATACAGTCATGATATAACAAGAATGTTACAAGATTGTTCTAACAAGTCTGATACAATCATGATATAACAAGAATGTTACAAGGTTGTTCTAACAAGTCTGATAGAGTCATGATATAACAATGTTACAAGGTTGTTCTAATAAGTTTGATACAGTCATGATATAACAAGAATATCACAAGGTTGTTCTAACAAGTCTGATACAGTCATGATATAACAAGAATGTTACAAGATTGTTCTAATAAGTCTGATACAGTCATGATATAACAAGAATGTTACAAGGTTGTTCTAACTAGTCTGATAGTCATGATATAACAAGAATGTTACAAGATTGTTCTAACAAGTCTGATACAGTCATGATATAACAAGAATGTTACAAGATTGTTCTAATAAGTCTGATACAGTCATGATATAACAAGAATATCACAAGGTTGTTCTAACAAGTCTGATACAGTCATGATATAACAAGAATGTTACAAGGTTGTTCTAACAAGTCTGATACAGTCATGATATAACAAGAATGTTACAAGATTGTTCTAATAAGTCTGATACAGTCATGATATAACAACAATGTGACAAGGTTGACAACACAAGGTTGTAACAATATTGTTATATCATGACCGTATCGAACTTGTTGGAACTACCTTGCAACAAGTCTGATAATATCAACAAGGTTGTTACAAGTTGTGATTATGAACAGCTTGTTCCAAACTTGTTGACAACTTGGGACAAGCAGTACGAGCACAACTTGTTGACGGCTTGTTGGCAGACTTGCTACAAGATGTGAGATTCTTAAACATCGTCATTGTCTTATCAGTTGTCTACGCACGTAAAAACGCACAAGTTGTAACAAATCTGCAGCAGTTTGCAAAGTACATGATCAAGAAGTACGTGATTAGAATGTTATAAGGTTGTTCTAACAAGTCTGATACAGTCATGATATATTAAGAATGTTACAAGGTTGTAATCTAATACTGGTATATTTGAGAAGTTATCAAATTCAAAACACCGCAAAATCAAATGGTAAATTTTATTCAACAAAATTTCAGAACATACTAACGTTCCTGACCAGATGACAAATATATATTTACATTACAAAATAATCTTTAACATTTAGTTTATTTTAAGTCTTTGTGTGGGGTCGCCATTCTTATAGATATGATGATTATCATTATAAGGGAACTGTTTCGGTGTCTAAAAAACAAAGAAAGACAATGTCTAGTACTCTTTTCAAACTAAACAGGCTTGATAGAGTCCAGGGACAGATCTAGCTTCATCTGCAAGGAGGGGTGCAGGTTTTCCATGGGGTGGTGCATGAGGGAGCCTTACTACCCACTCTCCTCTGCAGTCTGCAACGCTACTATCCCAACATTACCATTATTTGAGATGGCCGAATCTGCATGTTCGCCATTTTGTCACGTTTTACATTATCTTTTGTTTATAAAGTTTTCATCGGCTTTTTATCACGTATGCGTGACTGGACAGTTGCTGTAGCACAGTACAGTAAATTTGCTTGTTAAAGTACAGTATATTTGAAAATATGGCTGTATAACAACCTCGACATGTTTACATATTTAACCATGATATTTAACTAAAGCATTCTGAGTATTTTCTCGTGAGCTCACAAATCAATTAAATCGTTTTGAGAAATCGACACGCGCTAACAGTAGAAGTTCCGCTAATCGCTATTCAAAAAAAGAAGAAAATGTATGGTCAAGCAGATTATTCAGGGTGGTACTGGACTTCTCTAGGGGGATACTAGACACCAGCCCCTGATTGTGTGGCATTAGAGTTAAACAATAACGTATAGCCTATAGGACACACGACACTCACATATTTATTTCTATTGCCGCTGTCTGTCTTGCCGTAAAGATAGCCAATATACATAAAACCGCCAACCAACGCAAACATCGTCAACAGATGACGGAGCGCTTCGTGTCTAAACAAAAGAAAGCGATGTGGTGGGTGGATTTTACTCAGCACTATCGCAGATATAAAAGCGAGAAAATAATGTTCATTCTTTTCATTGTATGTAGCAGACTTTTCTTGCCTTTGTATCAAACTATCATAGTCTATCGAACCAGGTGATCTCGTGTTCGTATTTTAGCCAATCAGCGCTCAGAAAGGGTTGTCCGAATAGAAATCCATTTTGATGTATTCAGACAATTATATCTTTCATTATTCTTTATGAAACTAGTTGAAATTTTGTAATTATGTTTGGTTATGAGAACTATTATAGC